GCATAGTTCGTCTGAACGACTCGTTTTTTTTTTTAATCGCATAACGTGCAGTTCACGGACATAACGTACAAAGTGGTCCTAAAAAGCGTGACTTCAACCGTTGAGCGAGACATTCTAAACGGGATTTCGGGTTCGGTTGACCCGGGTGAGGTTTTGGCCTTAATGGGCCCATCAGGAAGCGGAAAAACGACACTACTGAGTCTTTTGGGAGGCAGAGTAAGCGAACCAGCTTTTGGTGGCTCGATCACTTACAACGATCAACCGTATTCCAAGACCCTTAAAAGCAAGTAAGAATCTACAAATATCTCAAACTTTTTCATTAGCATGAATTTGGAAAAAATAAAAAAAAAATGAAAATGAATAGAAAGCAAATGATGACATGGAGACACATGGCAGGATAGGATTCGTTACGCAGGATGACGTTCTGTTTCCTCACCTCACTGTGAAAGAGACTCTAACTTATGCGGCTCGACTAAGACTTCCGAAAAAACTAACGAAAGAGGAGAAGGATCAACGAGCCATGGACGTGATATACGAGCTCGGACTTGAGAGGTATTACTAAAGTCCTCTAATATGAATTCATTCCCCGTCTGGCAGTAAGGGCAATTGTGTCATTTCACTTACTGTATTTGATCTTATTTACCAATATTATTACATTGAAGAATGTGTTTTTTCAACTAGCTGTCAAGACACCATGATAGGCGGCTCGTTCGTGCGTGGGGTTTCGGGTGGAGAGCGAAAGCGTGTGTGTATCGGGAACGAGATTATCATAAATCCATCGCTATTATTCCTAGACGAACCCACTTCAGGTCTCGATTCCACAACTGCATTGAGGATAGTCGACACGATACACGATATAGCCGAGGTAATTTACTCAAATAATCAATTAAAAAACCAATGTTTGATTTTGATCCATTCATATAAACAATACATTATCCATTTTTTCGAAAAATTTTGTTGTGCATGAAAAAAGGTGGGGAAAACGGTGATCACGACAATCCACCAGCCGTCGAGTAGACTCTTCTTGAAATTCGACAAGCTGATCCTTCTCGGAAAGGGTAGTCTTCTCTATTTCGGGAAAGCATCCGAAGCAATGATCTATTTCTCGTCGATAGGTTGTTCGCCGCTTATAGCAATGAACCCGGCCGAGTTCATGCTCGACCTCGCGAACGGGAACGTGACTGACATTTCTGTACCGTCCGAGTTAGAGGACAAAGTTCAGATGGGAAACTGTAGGGATGAGACCAAGAGTGGAAAACCGGCTCCTTCACTCGTTCAAGAGGTAAGAAAAAGGATATAATTTAGCGCCCCCCGGAAAACAAAAACTGCGAAAATCTCCTTAGAATCGAGCCGTGATATGGAAAAAAGTCGAACTTTCTTTCGAAATTTAAAAGTACGAATAGCAAAAATGATACAATTTAACGCCCCCGAAAAACAAAAACTGCGAAAATCTCCCTAGGGTCAGGTCAAGCCCTGATACGGGGAACAAAAAAAGTCGAGCTTTCTTTTGAAAATTTAAAAATACCAGTAGCAACATCGAGTTGAGGTTTGCAAAAATGATATAATTTAGCGGCCCCGAAACACAAAAACTGCGTAAACCTTCCTAGGATCGAGCCTTGATATGGAAAAAGTCGAGGTTTCTTTCGAAAATTTAAAAATACCAATAGCAACATTGAGTTGAGGTTTGCCAAAATGATAGTATAATTTAGCGGCCCCGAAACACAAAAACTGCGAAAACCTCCCTAGGATCGAGCCTTGATACGGAAAAAGTCGAGCTTTCTTTCAAAAATTTAAAACTACCAATAGCAACAGCCCCTTGANGAGATGACCCGATTTTATGTGACCATTTTCAACGCAGTATCTCGTGGAGGCCTATGAGACGCGTGTGGCTGAAAACGAGAAGAAGAAACTCAGAAATCCACTTCCCATCGACGAAGAAATTAAGTCAAAAGTTTGCTCGAGCAAAAGAGAATGGGGTGCAAGCTGGTGCGAACAGTACTCCATACTCTTCTGGAGAGGTCTCAAAGAAAGACGACACGACTATTTCAGCTGGCTTAGGGTCACTCAAGTTCTTGCCACCGCAACTATTTTAGGACTCTTATGGTGGCAATCAGGCAGTAACAACCCGATCGAATTGCAAGATCAGGTAACCAAAAAAGAAAAAAAGAATAAAAAAAAAAGAAAGAATGAAAGACAGTCTAAGTTTTCGACTTATTTTGCAGGCGGGTTTACTCTTCTTCATAGCCGTTTTCTGGGGATTTTTCCCAGTTTTCACGGCCATCTTCACTTTTCCGCAAGAGAAGGCTATGCTTTGCAAGGAACGTGCGGCTGATATGTACAGATTGAGCTCGTATTTCATGGCACGGACGACGAGTGACCTCCCGCTCGACCTCATACTGCCCGTTTTATTTCTTCTCGTCGTGTATTTCATGGCGGGCCTTAGAATGGATGTCGGCTCATTTTTCCTCACTATAGTTACGGTTTTCCTCTGTATTATAGCCGCACAAGTGGGTCCCGCCTCCCATTTTCCGAAATTGTCAATATTTTTTTTTTTTTTATTGAAAACGAACAAACTTATTAAGGAAATGCATGCATGTGACGACAGGGTTTGGGGCTAGCGATTGGCGCTACGCTAATGGATTTGAAACGGGCGACTACACTTGCATCGGTCACGGTAATGACGTTCATGCTTGCCGGGGGCTTTTTTGTGAAGGTAAAGTTTGAATCTTTATTTTCGCAAAAATGGATCACATTTCGTAGAATGATCAAGAAAGCTAAATAGAGATTCGGAAAAGGAAATTATTGTTGTTTTAAGCATCATTTTCTGTTACTAATACACAACAACAGAAACAAATAAATTCCGTTCCATACTTTTGGTTAGTGAAAACAAGTTGGCTAATGCTCGGAAACAGAAAACAATTCATTACTGTCGAGAACGATCATGGCACCAATACGTTGCGAAGTTTAACTACTAATGCACCGAATACTAGTAGTGTGATAAGAAATAATAATATCTACATTTTTTTTTTTAATTTTGCAGAATGTCCCGGTTTTCGTATCGTGGCTCCGTTACCTTTCCTTCAACTACCACACGTACAAACTTCTCCTCAAAGTTCAGTACGAACACATAAGCCACACGGTAAACGGGGTTAAAATCGACAGCGGCTATAAGGAAGTCGGAGTTTTAGCAGTCATGGTTTTCGGCTATAGATTCTTGGCTTATCTGTCCTTGCGAAGAATGAAACTCCACTGAAAAAAATGGCTTTTAAAGCTATCGAGCCACTTGGGCGCCAGATTTAGCGTGCTAATTATATATATAACAAGGGTCTCTGTCGAGACAAATACAAGCATGATCTGCTAACACGAATCGTGTTTGGAGCAGATTTCCAAGAAGTTAAAGAAGTGGTGTGTTGAAGTGTTTTTGTCCTTTTCGTTTTNATTTTTTTTTTTTTCTTTTTTTCTTTCGCGACGCTGTTTTTAGTTCTTGGATTCCATCGAGACGAAACAAAGGCACTAAGGGCATAGTTTCCTAACCTGAAATGTCAAAGTGTACCATCGTTCGATACTTCTATTATCCCCCGACTCAACAAAAGAGCACCGATGACTGATCGAGCATGAAAATATATATGTTTTTTTCATCTAATTTGTTTATAATGTCTCGAATATCTTACTTTTGCACAATATAGCGCGACTCTCGGTTATGAGTACATTAGTAACCGGAGCAACATTTCCAAACTTTGAAACTACAAACTACTCGTTTAATAGCTAAAAGTTGTTGCAAAAGTACCTCAACACGGTTGTTTTTATATCACCATTTTAACAACATTCGGATCTTTTGTCGAAGTTCACAAATGCCGAGTATCCAATGTAGATCGGTATCGAGCACCGGGTTTTCTCGTATCCTTCATTAAATCAGCTGTCATCCGATGCGCATGCATAATTTCCAAAAAAGCTACGACACTAACACATTGGCCCGAAGAGCAATCGTATTTAGAAGTAAACATCATTGTGTTTGTTTGGCTTGAGATGTGTTGCTAATTGAACTGTTCACGAACACAATTCGAGCTCAGCTCGTTCGCGAACTGAACTGAGCCGAGCTCTTTAGATGGCAATTTGTTTGATTTTCTTATGCTGATTCAGACGAACAGTCGTGCCGAACATGCAAAATCGTGTTTGCTAATCGTTCACGAATTTGGATATGTTACACCAGTCGAGCCGAACCGAGATTCTTACAAACATAAACGAGCAGAACCTTTGACTCATTTATTAGACAATTCTAAAACAAGAACAAGTAGTGCTCGACTCGACTCAATTGGACTCGAGTCTTTTACCATTACTTTTACCATTACTCGAAACTCGAAACTAGTTATGCATATCGAATATTGGGAAAGTCATTAATAATGGCATGTTCATTTTGATTCTTTTATCATATTCTCTCTTCTTCTTCATCCGTGCTGACACTCTTCTTTCCACCACCATAAACCAGAGCCACTGCTATTTCTCAGGTGCGATTCGCCCCTTCATGCGTATGTTCTTATATTTATACATCTGTTCATGCGTCTGTGGATGCATGTTGGATCGAATCTTTTGGCCGGGAGGTTGCAAACGGTTNGTCCCCATGATCATCGAGTGTAATAAATCTTCGTTTTGGATTTGAAATGGACAAATTTTCATCATTAAAACCTGCGTTTAATTCATTCCCTTTTGATGTTTGCATCAGTTGATCTTGTTGTGTCAGATGGTACTTAGTTGTGGTAATTGGAAGCAGTCAGTTGTCAAGCCTGAGTTCACCAGGAAAGAGGCTTAATTAGTGTTATGTAGTCGATATACAATCACAGATTTCTGAGCTGCCGGTGTTCCTTCTCGACTCGCCAAAAATAACCCGATTAAGATTATCATTTACTTATTTAGAATTTGTCCTAATCATTTATCACAGTGCTTATATGTAGATAGAGTGAAGCTAGCCTTTCGGAAACCATGGATCGGCTTCTTAGTAACGCACGTCTCATGATTGTCTCGGATCTTGATCATACGATGGTGGGTTGTGATCATCTTCTTGTCATTTTCTTTTCTCTCAGTGTTTGTGTCTGTGAGTTAGGATTGGTGACTGACATCTTGCAGGTTGATCATCATGACCCTGATAATGTATCTTTGCTTCGATTCAATGCCTTATGGGAGTCCAAATACCGTAATAATTCTTTATTAGTTTTCTCGACTGGGAGGTCACCTACTCTCTACAAGGAGTTAAGGAAAGAGAAGCCATTGCTAACCCCCGACATCACTATAATGTCTGTTGGAACCGAAATTACATATGGTAACTCAATGGAACCGGACTACGGTTGGGTCGATTTTTTAAATCAGAAATGGGACAGGAATGTTGTATGTGAAGAGACAAAAAAATTTACCGAACTTACTCTTCAGGTACCCTTATAGAATTTTTCTGTAACTCTTTTTGTACTCCTGTTAGGCATTTGATATGAATTCTGGAAAGTGCCTTTTGATGCATGAAATTAGAAGATGTTTTTTTTTCCCCTTAATGATATGAATTCTCTTGGGGTTATGCAGTCGGAAACTGAACAACGGCCACATAAGGTAAGCTTTTACGTGAATAAAGAGAAGGCCCACGACATAATGAAAGCTCTCTCTGTGCGCCTAGAAGAACGTGGGGTATGAATATGATAGATCTTTTTTTTCCCCTCCTTTTTCTATCATGATGAACAAGTGCTTATTATGCGTTCT